AGATCCTTGGAAGCGTTCAAGGCCAGGTTGGACAGGGCTTGGAGCAACCTGGTCTAGTGGAAGGTGTCCCTGCCCATGGCAGGGGGCGGAATGGGATGAGCTTTTATGTCCATTCCAACCCAAAACATTCCATAACTCCATGAAAGGAGAATAACTCATTTTAAGAGCACAAAAACAGATTAACAAGGAACCAGCCCCGTGGCACGAGATGAATACTTTAATGCCACTTTCTTTCTCCATAAACAACCCAGTGCTGCTGTTTCCACTGAGAACACCGTGCAGTGACTGCTGGTTTTGCTGACACCTTGGGAGTCTGCAGAAGAACAACCTTAAATCGCAGGGTGGCTCTATTTTGTATCATTTTTCTGCCGATTTGCCCATTTGGCCTCCGTCTCCCTGCAGCAGCTGCCGCAGGGTGACACCTCCAGCTGCGCCCTCCTGGAGCAACCCCAGGCAAGAATCGGGGCTTAAGAACATCGCGCCAAGACCCCAACCCGCAGCCTTTGTTCAATTTATGGGCTTGGCTGGTTGTTTGTTTTTTTTGTTTTCTTTTCCTTTCCCCGCGCGGGTTGCGCTGAGCCCCGAGCTGTGCCCTGGGGGACGGCGGGACGGGACCCCCGGGAAGGAACCCCCAGGGATGGCACCCCCGGGACGGGAAACCCCAGCACGGGACTCCCGGAGGGAACCGCGGGAGGGGCCCCCAGGACGGGGCCTTCGGGATGGGGCAGGCGGGACCCCCGTGCCACCCCTCGGTGCCCCCTCACCTGTCGCGGAGCTGCAGCAGCTCCTGGAGCTGCTCGGCGGATCCCGCGGCCGCCACCGCCCCCGCCATGGCCCGGCAGGGACAGAGGGAGGGATGGAAGGAGGGGACACCGGGCACGTGGGGACACCGGGAGGCACGTGGATCCGCCTGGATCAGGTGGTTCCGCCCGGATCCCGTGGGTTTGCCCCCCGTCACGTGGCACCTCCCATTCCATTCCCACCCCTTTTCCATAGGCGGGGATACCTTTCATGGGCCAGGTGGTTCGAAAGCCCCGTCCGACCTGACCTGGAGCGCTCCTGTTCCAGGAATGTGTAATCTAGTGTTCGAAAGTAAAAGTAAATATTTCTGTTAAAATAATATCAATAATATCAGAAAAATAACAACATATCAGAAAAATAAATATGTGTAAATAGATATGAAATATCTGAAACATGGAAAATGTATGATTTCCTTAAGAAAGGCTAGTCTTTGATCTCTGTAGACTTTCAAGCCTAATCAACAAGAAATGAGATTTAATCTGTGAAATGCAGTATCCCAACAAGCTCTAAGTGGTATCCTGGTGTTGGAAAGACAAATTCCTGGTCAGTGGAATTGCCTTGTTAAGGTTTAGGACTTGATGTTTTTCAGTGATCTCGACGAGGGGCTCTCAGGTCTCCCTGGAGCCTTCCCTTCTCCAGGTGAACACCCCCAGCTCTACCAGCCTGGCTCCAGAGCAGAGCTGCTCCAGCCCTTGGAGCATCTCCATGGCCTCCTCTGGACTCGCTCCAACAGCTCCATGTCCTTCCTGTGCTGTGCCCCCAGAGTTGGAGGCAGCTCTGCACGTGGGGTCTCACCTGAGGGGGCAGAGGGGCAGAATCCCCCTTCCCCTGCTGCCCACGCTGTGGGATCAGCCCAGGACATGCACCAGCACACCCAAGTCCTTCTCCCAGGACTGCTCCATCTGTTCATCCCCAGCCTGGATTGATCCTGGGGGTTGCCCTGACCCAGGTGCAGCACCAGCACTTGGCCTTGTTAAACCGCATGAGATTCCCATGATCCCACTGCTCAAGCTTGTCCAGGTCCCTCTGGATGGCCCTGTCCTTCAGGTGTGTCACTGATGGTGCCCTTGACCCCTTCATTTGTGTCCTTAATGAAGGTGTCAAATAACACTGATCCCAGGACGGACCCTGAGGGGCACCACTGGTCACTCCTGTCCATCAGGACTCAGAGCCATTGATTACCACCCTCTGGAATATCAGGTTGCTGCTCAGGACGACATGTTCCCATTTTCCTTTGTGTTTGCCAAGATGTTCTGTGGAAAAGAATCCGAGATATCGTCAAGTGAAATGAGATTCTCACTCCTGGAGCTCATGGCCCATAAATCTGTAGCTGGAAGCAGGATTACCCCTGGTGATGGGAAATGTGGTCTGGAGAGATGGAACAGGATAAGAAGAATGCCTAATAATCCTTCTGATGCAGAAAGAGAAAAAAATAACCTAAAATACTCTTATCTCTGTTAAAAAGATGGTCATAAAGCATCCTGAAATTTTACAATAAATTTCATGTCAATTTTTGACACATTAATCTTCAGTATTTTGAAAGAAATCTCAAGACCAAATCAGAAATTAATAAAAAATAAAATATTAATATTTTCATTTCTTGTCTTTTCTCAAAGACCATTTCTAAGAAAACAAGAGCATATTTCTGAAGAAAACAAAGAAAAATATGTGAAACTACATATTTTCTATAAATAAATGCTGGTTGATATAAAGTACATGCGTGGAGGGAAGAAAGTCTAATTCTGTTTATTTTTTCTGACATTTTAACCTGACCAAAACCCAGCGGAGTAATCAGAAATTTGAACCTTTAGGGAAAGCCTATTTGAGATTTTATACCCTATTTTCCTGAGTTTCAGACCTTTTAAAAATTATTGTTCCTTTCAGTCATAAAACAAGGAAAACTTGGTATTCTTCCCCATGAAATATTTGTTTCAAATAAAATAATTTTGCTTAAATCCTGAATTCTTGAGTTATAAATAAGCCACACAGGCTGCCCAATTTTATTTTAGATTTCAGATCATAAAAATAAAATTCCATTTTAAATAATATGGTAAACATTATACTGAGAAGAGCAGCACAGGACTGTGCTGTGCCATTAACGAGGCTAAAACAGGTAATTCCACAAACAAATCTGTTTTCCAGTGGGAAATCCCTTTGCTTTTAAATTCCTCACCAAATACACTCCGTTTGATGGAAACATTCCTACTGTATTAAAGACAGAATTCCACGGGAAAGGCTGAATTTTTGCTGCCTGAGACAGATTCACTCTTTGTTAATTTCTTGTCCATATTTTGGTCCTGTTCCTGACCCATTTTCAACAAATAGAGCTGGATTTTGGCTGTGAAGGAATTCAGCAGAGGGTATTCCAAAGGTTTGGGTCAAGGCATTATGGGATGGAGGGCTAAAGCCAACGCTCAATGACACAGCTGCACTTCAGGAATGAAGCATGGGACAGATGTAACTCCTGGAAATAAATCTCTCCCCTCTGTAGCCGATGCCAACTCCAGCTCTGGCACATGATTTAAACCCTCATCCTTGAATAAGGTTCCCAAGACCTTTTCAAGGTTCCTCTGGAAGGCAAAGACAAGGATGGCTGTTACAAATGGATAGGCCCATGGAGACGTGGGAGAACTAAATCTGCCTCCCATCCAGCCGTATTTCTGGGCATCCCAGATGGAGGCTTTGGCAGGAGGGTCCCAGGGAAACATGGAGATTCAAGGACTCCGGATGAACAGGCGGCAGGACAAATTATCCTGGCAAGGCTCCTGCTGATCCACTGCTCACCTGGAGCTCCAAAGGGATGGATTTGGAGACCCAAATCAGGACGGAAAAACCTCTGAGGGCACAGGCTGGATGGGCGCTCCTTGACTGCTCCCAAATCTCACTCCTGTTTTCCTGAATCAGTGGTTTTACAAAAGAACTGTGCTTTGGCTTTACATGTGCTAATTCCCAGTTGGAGGACTGAATGAACATTCCTTATGGACACAGGGGTTAGGCTGTTGCATTCCAGCTGGGAATTCCCTAAAAATATTGCTGTTTTAACCTAATTCCTTGTGGACAGAGGGGCTAGTTAGGCTGTTGCATTCCAGCTGGGAATTCCCTAAAAATATTGCTGTTTTAACCTAATTCCTTGTGGACAGAGGGGCTAGTTAGGCTGTTGCATTCCAGCTGGGAATTCCCTAAAATATTGATCTTTTAACCTAATTCCTTATGGATTCAGGGGTTAGGCTGTTGCATTCCAGCTGGGAATTCCCTAAAATATTGA